TCGGCATTCACATGGTTAGTGTTTAATTGCATTGCGTTTTCTCCTTTCTATTATTGATCTGAAATTGACATATATCACGATTATTCTGATATTTTAATCAAGGGTTAAGATTAATTGGGATGTTCTAATTGGTCAATACGCACAAAAAGTATGTTATTTTTAGACGTCTTGAAAGGTTTTTTTTTTTTTTTTTCTGGAACTTCGTTTATTTCATCGATTTGAGTTTAGAATTCGAGTTTTGTTATAGTAAAAAGCTCTCATAAATAGTTACATCTAACTTTTTTGCTACAGTAAAAAACCCTCAGAAATAGTCACATCTAACTTTTTTGTTACAGTAAAAAGCTCTTATATAAAGTCACATCTCAACTCGAATCAGCGAACTAAACGGGCCCAAAGATCATTACTCCGCAAGAATTAGGTTACAAAGGTTAGTAATTGGTGGATTATCAAAAATAGTATTCTTGATGCTACCTTGTTAGCATTCTGATATAATAGTTTAAATTTTTAGCAATTAACTATTCTCACTTACTTCTCTAAAAAAACAAAACAAAACAAAAACAAAAACAAAACAAATGTTTCCATATTAAGATATATAGTGAACAAAACGTGAGAAATTAAGTGGTAAACCTGATTTTTTCCGGTTAATTAATAGATTCTTAAACTTGTTTATTATGCATTTGCAGAGTGGAGCATCTATGTATTAACCTTTATGAGTTAGTTAATTATGTGTTAATCAACAATAACTTTTTAGAAAATTTGTGTGATTAATCAAATCGTACGTACCAGTTAAGCTAATATGCTCCATTATATTCAACGTTGGATTGATATATTTCAGGGTGTCCAAAGTACTATAAAGTAGAAACTACAATGATTTTTTTATTAATTTTTTCACATTGTATTTATTAGTTCATTTTCAAACCGCAGTAATTTATAATGGAAATTTGGTCCCCTCCACTTTCTACTCTTCTTTTCCTATCACCCCCCAACCGTATAAATGGAATTTGATTCTTTTTCTTCTTTACTATATATAGTAATAAAGAGTAAACTAAATCAAGAACCATTAATTAGCTAAAGTGGATATATAGAGAGCAGCATTATAATTAATTTATAATTAAGAGATCATGGATTTGATTAGGGTGAAAATTAGTTCGAATCTGAATATATTTTCTTGGTGCTGAAAAACACTTGCTCATTGTGGAAAAGGAACTGATTCACATGTGAAAGAAAATATTAAAAATAGGGATATTAATAATTAATATTCTAGTTTATAATTTTGCTAATGCAGCGGTCGCTAGGTCATAGTAAGAGCATAGATATTTCTAGGATTTTTTATTTTGTTTCGATCTTACCTTTGCATCACAAAAAAAAAAAAGGTAATTATGGAGCTCAAGAGTTTTTTTTTTCCCTAAATTTTTGGCCCTTTTTGATTGTAGGTTTTGAATCTGTTGTTATGCACAATTGCACATGATGTTTTTTTTTTTTAAAGCTGGGTGTCAATAAGAAATAATATGATGTCATAAATCATTTATTTTTTATATATATACATCTATATATATGGGTGTGATTTTAATAGTTGATGGATTTCTATTAAAAAATAATTTATCAAAGCAAGTAACGATTTCGGACATATATAGCAAAGGTAAATCATTTATTTTTCCCAACAATAAATTAACTTTCTTATTCATATCATTGACCCATTAGGTATTACTAAATAAGATTTAAGCAAAATAGGGTTCATGCTTGATCAAGTGGTTAACCCACACCATCTCAAAAGAAAAATGCAAAAAAAAAAAAAAAGACGATTTATTTTGATATATATACATCTATATATATGGGTGTGATTTTAATGGTTATTCTAATATTTACTCATTCGTGTGTATTATTGTTTTAACCCTAAGATATTAATTCAATGACTGTAATAAATTAGATAGTTGACTAAATAAATTTATGACAATTAATGAGCCTAGATTTTTATTAGATTGTAATTACTAATAAAAACGTAAGTATTGAAAACTCGAATATATATATATATATATATATAGGCCAAGCGGACTGGGGTGACACTTGTATATATATTTTTTAAAATATGTATATATTTTTTTAAAACGTGTATATTTTCTCTTAAAATATATATACATTATATATTTTATTATAAAAAATATATATTTTAAATTAAAATATACACATTTAAAAAAAATAAACATATTTTTAAAAAAAACACAAATATCACTCCAATTCGGTACAGAACCGGAGACAATTCAGGCCCCGTTCATTTCGTTAATTTGAGTTTAGAATTCGAGTTTTGTTACAGTAAAAAGCTCTCATAAACAGTCACATCTAACTTTTTTACTATAGTAAAAAACTCTCACATAAAATCACATCTCAAATCAAATTAAAAATTTAAATCAACGAACTAAACAGGTCATATGGTTGCATTAGTAGGAATGTAAGATAGCCCACATGAACGTGTTGACTCATCATATGTTGAATTTTGAATTCTCTTTTTCCTGCCTTCCTTAAATACCATAGTTTTAAAAATGTGGTCAGGCTTTATTATTAGACTTAACCAGCCAACCGTGTGAAGCCACGTCATCTTCCATTAAACCTTGTATTATTGGAGCGTGGTTGGCACGCGCCTTAATTGCATGATCCAATGAGTGGATGGGCCTTCAGATCAAATGTATCTATCATCTCCAATCCCATAACTGATCACACACTACAAAGTCTCCACAGTGAGGACTCTGAAGTCAATGCCATTCATGTAAAAACACACTTATACATCAATATATTGGGTTTTTTTTTTTTTTTTTTCATCATTTAACACTTTTTTGAAATTACATGAGTTTGAGGATAAATTAGTAGGATTAACATCAATTCTCATTAGTGTTAATTCAACAGTTACAATTCCTTAACTTCCCAAAACTCCCTGTGGTTTAACACTTTTCTAAATAATTTGTTGTTGACAATTTTAGTCTTTCGGTTAATTATAAAATTCTCTAAGCTCTAACTTTAGTTAATGTTGGAGTTAATTGTTAATTCTTTAGAAGTTTAAGAGTAAATTGTCAAGAGAAAATTAAGGACAAAGTATAAAGTCAAGGGAAAAAAAAATTTGAAGAACACATATACTAAAAATTTTATATCAATATGCATATATTATATGTATATGCATAGATATGTTTGATAACTTTGCCATTGGTTGGCCTAGATGATGTTGATGGCTTAAAAATATCGTAATTGGACGCCATTCATTATAAATACAAAACCATTGGGAATTTCTATCTAGTCAATCAACCCCAACTCGCACTATAGAAGACTAAACTCATTAGAAAAACTACAAATAAGGATGTAAATGGGACGGTAAAGGATGGGGCGGTGTGGGTAAGTTTCCGTCACCCTCATCCCCTACTTTCTTTTTTAACTCTCATGCCCATCTAATTTTAAGGTCAAGTCTAGGTCTGTCAATGTTGAAACATATCTAAAGTTAGACATAGTTTAAGTATGACGATAAAGACTAATTTATAAACATTTTACTTAACAGGTTGACCTTTTAAATGGAAGTTAAGAGCCCGTTCAGTTCTCTGATTCGAGTTTTTAATTCGAGTTGAAATGTGACTTTATGTGAGAGCTTTTTACTGTAGCAAAAAAGTTAGATGTGACTGATTCTGAGAGCTTTTTACTGTAGCAAAACTCGAAGAATCGGTGAAATGAACGGGACCTAAGAATTCTTAAAACGGAAGCTAAAATTTTTAAAAAGTCTAATTTTTATAAGATATGAGAGCTCAACATTTAGAGTCGAACATGCCTAAATGTTTCTAAACGTTAATTATATCTAGTCAAATTACATGAAAATGCAAAAATGACAAAGTTTAAAACCGTTCAAAACATAACCCTATTGATGCAGCATTTTTTTTTAACTTAAGAGTGAGAAATTAATGCCCCGTTCATTTCACTGATTCGAGTTTAGAATTCGAGTTTTTCTACAATAAGGCCTCGTTCACTTCGCAGATTTGAGTTTTCAATTCGAGTTGAGATGTGACATTTTCTGAGAGCTTTTTACTGTAGCAAAAAAAGTTAGATGTGACATTTTTTGAGAGCTTTTTACTGTAGAAACCTAAAACTAAAAACTCGAATCTGTGAAATGAATGAGGCCTAAAAAGCTCTCACAAACAATCACATCTCAACTCCAATTAAAACTCAAATTAAAACTCGAATCAACGAACTAAACGAGCCATAAAACTCTTTACTTTATGGTAGGATCAGGTGTATAATTACATAGCATTAGCTATCTTAGCAACCACCATGCAGCATTTTTCATATACTATCATATATATATATATATATATGTATTTTAAGAAAGACAAACGACTAAATTAGAGTATTAAGAGAGAGAGAAACTTCCTGGAGAGAGGGGTGAAAGAGTTGCACAACAAAACAAAAGGGAAAAAAAAAAAAAGCAAGCAAATAAGCAACACTTTTCCTTCCTTCCTTCCCCCTTTCTCCACCAAGCCTTGTTTTTCTTTGTTAATAACTTCCATCCCTTCTGCACCCAACCACCACAACTTCAAAAAACTCTCTCTCTTTCTCTCTTTCTCTCTCTTTCTCTTTCTCTCTCTTTCTCTTTCTATTCTCTTTCCAGGAAGTGGAAATAGTGGTGGTGTTGAAAAAGCAACAACACAAAAGAGAACTGGAGACGAGAAAAGAAAGAAATCCCATCTTCATCCATCAACAATGGAATTCATCTCAAAAAGTTGGCAAGAAATAGAAAACAATAACAATCAGAACAGCCCGAGACCCGCCGCAATTCCCAGCCCCAGATCTGACCCAAACAATCCTTACCCAACAACCTTCGTCCAAGCCGACACCTCCAACTTCAAACAAGTCGTCCAAATGCTCACCGGCACCGCCTCCAATTGCTCATCATCATCCTCCTCTGAGACATTTAAACAAACACCTTCCAGGCAAATTCCCCCTAAAAAACAAGGATTCAAGCTTTACGAACGCCGAAACATTAACATCAACAACAACAGGCAGCTCATGATTAACACTTTGTTGTCGTCGACGCACAAGCAGTCATCTTCTTCTCCGCCGGAGATCCTGTCGCCGAGCGTGCTGGACTTCCCGTCGCTGACGCTGCTGAGCCCGGTGACGCCGCTGACGAACGACGTCGTCGGCGAAGACAAGTCTACGTCGGAGGAGGAGGAGGAAGAGATCAGCAGGGCTATCGCCGAGAAAGGGTTTTTCTTGCATCCATCGCCGAGGGCCGCCGAGCAGCCG